GCCATCATTCTTCTCTCTGGTGCGTTTCTCGTTCACTTCGCATGCTGGTTCTACCAATAGGTACTCAAGTCCTTCCATGTTCTGCGGTAAACACCAGTCCTCCGGAGATGGGACATGAGGTTTCAGATTTTCAAAGTGCGCTGCACGCCCTGTACTCAAGCGGTAGAACCGTCCCTGCTGATGTACCTCCGTTATCATGAATGGTCCTCGCCATTTCTTTAGTAGCTTCTTCGTCCCCTTCAGAGGTATGATATGAAAGAATGTTAGGGGCATCGCTCTTTCCCTGCCTGTCAACATCATGAAGGGAGTGATTCCTGTTGTCGAGTGTTGCGTACTGTTATACGCCCCTACCACTTGCGGCAGGTATTTGTCCCAGTCTGTCAAATATCTCGAGCAATACACCCTGAGCATGTTTACCAGCGTTCTGTTTTGTCTCTCAACTAGTCCGTTAGTCTGGGAATGGTAAGCAGTTGAGTGTGCTTGAGCAATGTGCGATCTCCTCATCAACTCTTTTGTTAAGTCCCCAGCGAAGGCTTTCCCGTTGTCCGACTGGAATGTCATCGGACAACCATATCGTGATATCCAATGTGTTATCAAATGGTCACAAGTCTCCTCCTTTGAGGCTGTTTGACATGGCACCGCTTCTGCTAACTTCGTAAAGTGATCTATTAAAACCAGTATTTGATTATATCCCGAGTCTGTCATGCAGATCTTCTGATGGTCTATCTGCACGACTTCGTTAAACTCCGAGCTCTCCACGGACTTGAGTGGGAACTTCATTTTTCTTGGATCTTTCAATTGTAAACGCGCCAGGCATGGGTTCACCCATCTCTCTCAATCCTTTCTTAATCCTGGCCAGTCAAACCTGTGTAGTATTCTTTGTTGTATTTCGTCTATCCCCTGATGTCCCATCTGGTCGTGCGATCTGAATAACACTTCTGTCTGGTACAGCTGTGGTAGTAAGATAAGGTTGTGCGTGTGTAGTATCTTCTCCTGTTGATGAGGTTGTGCTTGTGTAGTACGATCGTATTTTGTCTGTAGGCTTTTCAGCTTTTTTTTAGTTTCTGAATTTTGTACATACAAAAAAGAACACTTTAATTGCAAAATGATAATTATTAATATTAAGCAAGTATACGTCACACAATTTTTCTGGATTATGTATTTATTTACAAAATAATAAAATAATGGTTAGAATTTTAACATCAAACAAATTTAAATTCTTTTCATGTTGCTTTTCCATAAGTTGCCATAGAAGAATCTTCACAAAAAAAAAAGAAAATATTCCTTAAATTAAATTTTCGTAGTCTTGTAATTAAACTGCTGCTGCTTATGTTTGAAGGTGCATTTTGAATTTGGTTTCAAAAAAGAACTGATTTTCTGAGAAAACAATTTTCGATAAAATGACTGCTGAATCTTGCTCGAAAGAGTAGTTTTTTAGTTCTTTTGTTTTCGTCAGTTGTGATGTTCACGTACTCGATTTCGATTTTTATGCATGCCGGTAGTAAGTTATGTTTGAATCTCCATAGATGGCAAACTATTTTCCAATCGAGAACAAGGAAACCGGACGTACCTTGTATTCCAGCTTGAGATCGGATGAAGAGATAATTTTTTTCTGTTACAGCAGGTCGTTATTGCTAAACTTAGTTGTTTTTCAAGCGATATTAAAAGATAGGATGTCAAACTGCTTAATAGTATTGCTGGGTAGTGCAGATGGCTGATGACTAAAGCGTTCAATAATAGTAATCGGTTTTTGTCAGTGGTTTTTTATCGATTGTAAAGTTTTGATCCCGCAAGCCATTTTTCTTAATATATTTTAAACTTCTCCCTGAAAGGTTAGAAATTGATCTAGAATTACCCCCAAATAATGAACTTTTTCAATTTTTTTTTATCATACCCTCCGACGAGAATAAAACGGACGTTAATGACGTTAAAGACGAATTCGTGAAGGGTCAGTATGTTCTGGAATTTTTAAGTTTTAAAATTTCGATTGTCGACAGATTATTTCCCGGAAACGTGGAAAACGGCCATTTTGCCTGAAAAAGAGAAGAAAAACACAACAAACGAGAACGTCGAACAAACAAATTGAGAAAAGCAAGAGAAAAAACGGAGTCTCTTATCGTGACGATCACGCACGGTAAGACACGTAACTGAAGCAGATAGGAAGAAAAGAGGCTTCAGTGGGACAGCCGGAGCGGATCCGTACCCTTCCGTGCCATGGGATTGAGGAGAGAAGAGTGTTATCTCAGGGGGAGAACAGAATTGGAAGCCCGTTGCCCAGAGACTCAGTAGACTGTAACATATACTTTGTAGCTGTTGAGATGCCCTGAATAGCTGTAATTACTCCAATCCTGTATTGTATTTCAGAGCATGAAAGAGCTAGAAAGAGAAAAAAGGCCAATCCAGCCCCAATGGATTTAGCTCATAAATATCGCCAAAAACATTGTAAATAATGGTTTCCGAGCCGTGTTTTTATTAGTTATTACGTAGTCTGGGGATGCGAGACCCAGCTATGTGGTTATTTTTGCATGTAAACGAAAGCTGATCAAAAACAGTTTGACTGATGGCCTAAAAATGGTAACTTCTTAGCCCTAAACTGACCAATAAAGTATCTGGCTAGGTCTAGACGGTGAAAAACGAGTAGAACTAATGTAACTGACGCCTGCCAGTCTTCAAGAGGTGCTTTTTCGACGCTCCGTCTTTTTGTAGTAATTGGGCGAATGTTACACATCAAACATTATTCTGAGCTTTGAATTGTGGTTTCTGCCTTGATGTTTTTGGCTAAATTTCATCAACTTAGCTTTATTTGTGTTGAGTCTTAGAGAATGTTTCGTGAAATACAGAGACAAATTCTGACAGAATTTTTGCAGTTGCAGGAGAGCATTTTTGATGTCATTCTCATCACAAATTAGTATTGTATCATCTGCGTTTTGTAACACTTTGCACGATTCAGTTAAATTGTTGTTCAGGTCATTTATTTATAGGAGATTCATTTGGATTCAGTATTATTTACTACAATTTTCTGTTGTCTCTTGTTTATGAAGCTATGATTTTTTTCAATTGCTGATTCAGAGAATCCCAAATCATTTAATTTGTTCTTTCCTTGTTCGTGGTTGATAAAATCTAGAAAGCTTTGGAAAGATCTAATAAAGATACGGCAACATATTTGTTTGCATCCATTGATATGCGGAAGAACTGAGTGCAAAAAGGCGCATCCGTCGTTGAATATGAAGTTCTAAAATCAAATTGGGTGTTGCTGAGCAGATTATTAGATAATAAGTATATATTGATTTGTTCGTATAGAAGTTTCTCAAAAACTTTAGAAAGTGCATCTGTTATGGAGATTGGTCTATTGTTCTCTGGGATTTCTGGGTCATCTTTTTTGTATATTGGGGTAACAATCGCTCTTTTGAGTCTAGTTGGATATAAAATGTACTTAATAAATTCAGTGGTAGAAACGGCAGATCAATGTAATAATAAATTCATTTATAAGAAATGTAAGGTGTGGATATATTTCATTGCACCCATCTTTCAGAGCTCAGGCTGGAAGATAAGAAGGTCCGGATGGTTTATTTGCGTTCAAATTCGGTGTGGTTTGTTTGCGTTTAAATCGAAACCATGCTCTCTTCTGAAGATACTTAGCAAGGGATACATCTTATTTTTCATTGTTTTTTCTTTTGTTTCAGTTGAGTTTCAGCATATTGGCTACCGGCTTTTGTTTCGTCGGCTTATTTATTAAATTTATTGTTTCATACATTTTTATCTATGAAATCGTTTTGACCCTGGAGCCAAATTTTTAAAAGCTCAAATTCAACTCCATTAATCCTCAAAACGCAAAACATTCCAACTTGATTTTTCAAGCTCTCTGAGTGCAATTTGATAATTTTTTACAGAAAGGAATTGAGTTTTCTGCTTATTGCACTCTGCTGCATCACTCTTCTGGGTTTCAATTTTTAGGCATGTTCTGCGTGTTTTAGGATTTAACGCATGAGATCTTTTAGAATTTTCCTTTTTATTATGGTTTAAATTTTCCCATTTTAATTTTTTTTGTGTTTTTTTTTCATTAATAGGTTCGATCTAATTTATATTGGATTTGTGGCATCATATTGCGAGGTTTGATGAGTGAAACTTTTTCTGTGCGCCTGTCTGTGTTTTGAGGGAAAGGGAAACGTTAAATTTTTCTTAGTTGCAGTTTTGTGAATTATTTAGGCTTGGGTTGCTGCGCAGAAGTTTTCGGCTTTGATAGTGCTGTATACTAAAAAGTTGGCGTCTGCTCAAAGATTGTCCGCTTAATTGCAGTATCACAATTTTTTTGCCGCAAGCAACTTTCATTGTAGGTGCAAGTGCAATTGCTCTGCATTCTAGTTCCAAGGGGGACTTGAAAGATTTTTGTAAATTAAAAATCATTTTTTTCTGTTCAATTGGTTTCAGCTCAAAGGTTTTTGGCTTAGTTGCCACATCACAATTTGTTCTTGTGTTGTAAACAACATTTATTGTAGTTGCAAGTACAAGTGTTTTCCATTGTTATTTATGGTGGGACTTTAAACTTTTTTTTATAAAATCATATGGTGTTCGGCTCAACTTGTGTCTGCTCAAAGATTGTCGGCTTTGTTTTTCTTTCGTTTTTTTCCCGTTGTTGCTGATTTAGATTTCAATTGTCTGGCCTGTTTACTGGAATGAACTTCTATCGAGACATATGAAAGTTTATATGACCTAGTTATTTTCAAAATTTTTCATCTCGGTTTTTTATGTTTTTTTTTTAATGTTTGTGTTGTATCGCAAGTGATACGAAGCTCCGCTTCGCCTCTGTGTTTAAACCTGTACTTTTTGCATCGCACTCTTCGCCACTGTGTGAAGAGTTTCTAACTCCTAAATGTTCTCATTAACTTGTTTTAACTGAATGAGTTTCATTCGGGTTCTCATTTTTAGTGCGAAATACTTGACACAGAAAATCTATTTCCTCTGCGCGACTGTGTTCGTGATCAATCAATTTTTTCAGATTGTGTTTGGCTGTCAGCTGTTATGTTTTAATGGTTGAATTTTGAAAATGATCGGGGCCCCAATAGTTTCTTTGCTGAATGATTTACCAGGATTGGACAATGTAAGCAACGAGCAGCGGGAAGATGGCGTTGATAAGCTGACTTCTATAAAAAGTGCACTGCATGTTATGAAAAATAATGAAATAAAGAGGCAGCTTGACAAGTGTCCGGAAAAGTTGAACATTATTCTGAATTATCTGCTTTCACCTGCAGCTACAAGGTGAGTTTTTGTAAGTAAATTAGTCGCTTTGATTTTTAGGCTCAGAAAATTAAAAGGATACATAAAAATGATAGGCACTTAATTTATCGATATAGAAAAAGTTAACAGAAAAATAAACAAGAAATTTGTGAAAACACATAAACAAATACCTACACCAGAAATTGAAAACAGCATATAATTACCGAATACACAACAAACACCGAATACAAAACAAACAACAAATGTGGGATGAACCATTGAGGATTGAAAAGAGAGGGGGAATGCACTAACAGCAAAGGAACAAAGGAGCACCAGAATTGGTTAGGCAAAAACGTAATAAACTGCACAAGACTAGATGGCCCGACTGACAATCATAGTGGCGTTTCCTCTCATGAGGCACACTGAGAGGCTCTGGAGAAGGCGAACTGGGGCAACACGAGCGTCACGTGAACCAGAACGTCTGGCATCAGCGAGGATAGCAACTGACTTGAGGGTTTTGATAGCTAAAGCGGACCAACCCCCGAGCGTTTCGACTGCTAACGGGAAAAAACTGATTCCTTGTTCCTCACAGTTTTTCTCGTGTTTCGAAAATTTGCGGTCCTCAGCAACTTCCAGGGACGCCCCGGGGGTCTCCGCCGCACGAGAGAGAAGGGATAACTGCAGCGGGGATGTCACGGTGACGTCGAAAGCAGCTGGGCGACCAGCGCTCCAAGTAGGGACAAAAATATCGCCGGGTTTGGACCGTTCTCCAGGGATGAGGTTCCGTTGCTCCTTGATGGGGGCTAAAGAGGCAGCCGTGGTAGCATTGAAAATAATGTCCCGTAGTCTGTCGTGACGGGAGATCCGGCCACCACTCCCCCCACAAGCGACAGCGTGGTCCCCGAGGACGTCCAGAATGCCAGACGGACACGCGGGGCACCTACGAGCAGACGCGAACACAGGAAGACCAAGGCGGTATCTGACAGCAGCTTGGAACTCAGCAGGTAGCAGGTGCAGGCCAAGACCTTTAATGGGGACTGCGGTAAGCCAAGCGCCGGCGTAAGGCAGAGAGAGCGACTGAAGACGAGCTTGCTCGCGGGAATCGGGAAGAGACGAGAAGAAAGCGTTGTAGGTGGCCTTATCGAGTTTCTCTTGGAAAGCTTCTTGAGTAAAACCGGGAGTGTTAACGCTTCCAGAGTGTTCACGGAAGTCGTTAGAGGCACGCAGGAACTCCGGCGTATCAGTGATGTCGCATTCGGTAAGAAACGAGACCAAATGAGCTGACTGACACGAAGACCCTAGGAAGGCAGGGATGTGTTGGTCGCGAGCTTGCCGGACGCCAAGTCCGCCATCTTTGATAGGCAGGGAAGACTGGGACCAGGCAAGATCAGGAACAGGTGAGCCAACTATGACAGAAAGAGCATCGCGGAGGAGTTCATCAAAAACTTGCAGGGAAGCTGCGACAGGCTGAGAGGGCGGATGAGTGCGAAGAGAGCACGTCAGCTTGGGAGCAGCAAGGCAAGTGCGAGTGATGCCAAGTGAGAGCTGGGGGTCATCAAGAAGAGGTAACTTTTCAAGACATTTGGTGGCTTTCGAGATGCGTTTGTCCAGGACTTTAACTGAGAACTCAGTATCACCAATGGGGGCGCCAAGAAGCTCGAAGCCATTAGACGCTGCTCTCGGGATAGAAACGGGGATGGACGAGAACTCCATAGGGGCCCACAACTCACACTTACTGTGCTTGACTTTGAGGCCGAGATGCGAGCCGTTGGAAGTGATGAATTCGAGAGCCTTGAGCAAGGAGTCTTCGTCGCCGGCACAAATACCATCATCAAGGTACCAGCAGTTGAGGGTGAGACCGGGGACTTTAAGATAGAAACGGGGATGGACGAGAACTCCACAGGGGCCCACAACTCACACTTACTGTGCTTGACTTTGAGGCCGAGATGCGAGCCGTTGGAAGTGATGAATTCGAGAGCCTTGAGCAAGGAGTCTTCGTCGCCGGCACAAATACCATCATCAAGGTACCAGCAGTTGAGGGTGACACCGGGGACTTCCGACTTGAGAGATTCGACAAGAGAGTGCAGGGTGACCGCAAAAATGAGAGGCCCTAGCGGATCCCCCTGTTGAACTCCTTTCTCGCTGTTGAGAATGACATCCTCGAACAGCAGACGACTGTGGTGACCGTAGGTAAACTCAACAAAGGCCGAGAGACCGGGAAGACGGTTGCGAACTTGAAGGAGGATCTCGGTGCGGTCTAGCGTGTTGAAAGCGTTCTCAAAATCCACTGTTAAGACGCCTTGGTGACCATGTTCCGAGCACTTTTTGACTGTCATTTTAGTAGCGTGGACGATGGCTTCCGAGCCACCGCTGGTAGCGACTCCAAGCTGGTGAGGACACAGGAAATCACGAGCTTCAGCGTTGGTGGCTTTAGCAAGGCATTTAGCAGTGAGCCTTCGGAGCACTTCGCCGACCGCAATAGGCCGGACACCACCCTTGTGTTTAGCGGTGGCAAAGAGATTCGCACTGCACAGCCACGGAGAGAGACTAGAAGGGGCTTGCCCGGCAGCGAGGATGTTAACAACTCTGTTGAGAGACTCTAACGTTCTGGCAGCAGTCTGAGGAGTGGGGCACTCAACGGCGTGAACAAAGTGCTCAGGAAACCAGCGCGAAGGACCGGCAGCAGTGCCGCTCGGGAAACTTTTGAGAGACTTATGAACGAACTCAGATTCGAATTGGTAGGCATGAGCGGATTCATCCCGGCCAGAAAAGACAGGAGGGTCAGCGGAAGGATGAAGACTGCGAAGGTCCTTAAGCGACTCGTCACTTTTGGACACGAGGCCATCGGAACACAGGGCTTTAGCTGCTCTGCCGAACTGACCGAGGCCTGCTAGCTCTTTGGCTCTGCGGACATTAAAGTCAGGAGAAGGTTTGCTGTTTTTCTTCGTTCGCTCTTTAGGTCTTTTGGTAGCGTTAGACCAGAGGTCCGAAATATTGCCCTCCTTCCAGGACTTGATTCTTTGGCGAATGTCTCTGCAGTTATTAGCGGCGTGAGACTTGCCTCCGCGGCAAGGGGCTTTCAAGATACATTTAGGGAGCATGAGCAACCGAGTCCAGTTTTTCAGATTGTCCGGAGCGGTGGCGCAGTTGTCAAGGGCGTGACCAACAACCTCAGACCACTCGTTACGAAGAGAAATCGGAACGAACCGGACAGTGTCAACTCTGGAAGACATGACGTCAGAAAGATCCGGCACAGCGCTTTCGGCGAGCTCAGCCGAGATCGTCATACTTGACATCCCTTGAGAGAGGCCAGAGCTAACAGGAGCATCCCGAGAAGGAGAACTCGTTAAAGCGACAGAGATAGGACTGGAGACAGGAGAAGCGAGAAGGCAAATAGGACCGCGAGAATTCCGGCCTATCGGAACATAACCATCAGGGAGCCGGAAAATTTGATCAAGGTTGACCCAGGAGTCAGAGCTTTTATTCCAACCACGAAAGTGATCAAAGAAGCGATCGTTGTCAACTTTGAGGATAGAAGCATCATAGATACCGGAGGTTAGGTCCGAGATGGCAACAGACGACCCGACTAAGATCTCCGCGGTGTTAACAAATCTGGACAACTGAGTAGGGTCGACAGACGGACCAGGATTACTTTCAATATCACCAGCGCATAAAAGAAGGAGCATAGAAATGTTATAAAACGACAACTTTGAGTTGAGTTTAAACTTGCGTGACCGCAGTTCTTGTCGTGATTGTGGATCAGGTTTCTCGCGAGCCAGCAGCAGCATGTGTGTAGATCCAACAGGGCTGTGACCGTTCTGCACACGGTTGAAAGCTAAAACCAGAAACACTGTCGAGAAGAAAGAGGCAAACAATTGCATGCCTAACGTAGGAGGGGTCTCACCCAGACGTAGAGATAACGAAGGCAGAAGGGGAGAGTCAGAGTCAAGATCGGGCTACGGGTTCCACACCAGGAGACCAGAAGTCCAGTGCGGGGTCCAGATCGTGGATGGCACGCTACCTGAAGACCAGTGGTCCACTTCGGGCAGGTCAGGAAGTGTGCAACGTCCAGCCAGGTGATCACCAGCACATACCCATCTGAAACTATTTAATAAGTTTATCACAACAATTAGGCTAAATGGACACAATTTTTCTGTCTTTACTTTATTACGCTTGCGATAAGCAAGCGTTATCAAATCGAAAAGAAGACTTTTGTTTTTCGAGTTAACTACTAGTTTAACAAAATCAGTTGATTCAATTGCTGCAATGCTGCTCAATTTCATGAAATTTCAATAAAAACTAATTTATCCAGTAGTGAATAGGTCGAGTACGTTTTTTTTATGAAGCGGTTTCGACTTAGTTGTATGGCTTAGTCAATTGATTTTGCGTAGTTTTGTGAGCCGAAAAGTTACTGTTGGACCAAATCAAGCAGTATGAAAATGTATGGGAATGGTTTTTTTTTTTATTTGTTTTTAGACGCTTTCGAATTTTTTTTCTTTGCAAGTTCGGTAGAAACCTACAGTTTCGTTTTTCACAAAAAAGGCTATCAATGAATAAACTCCTGCTTATCTGTGTGCCTGCATAATCTTGTAATATCTTTTTACTTTACTCTCTATAGCCTTCGAAAAAGTCTGGGGGGAATATTGGGGTGAATATTTGACGCAAATTTTTGATTTTTTTTCTTGTTTTTTTTTAAAACTACTTTTCCAATTATGAGATTTTAGACTAAATGGATATAATTTTTGTGGATGATTCTTCTGCATACGAGGCTGCGCCCATTTTTTCATATGAACAGTTATTTCGCTCGGAAAAGTCTTTGGCTCTTTTGACAGTTTTTTTTGAATTTTTTGTCTTTTCTCTAAAAATGCTCTCACAAATCTAAAAAATTGGGTTCAATTGAATTAATGGGTTGTTTAAAGCTCCCCTGAATAATTAACTTTATTGAATTTACAAGTTTCAATAGCACGATAAGATTTAATTGAATTTTCATTGAATTTAATTGAGTTCTTATTGCACGATAAGACTTTATTGATGTTTCAAGTTTTAATAGCACCATAAGACTTGATTTAAAAGTCTTACGGTGCTAGGAATTTAAGGAATTTAAAAGTTCCAAAGGCACATAGTTTTTAAAAATATTTCAGAGAAGAAGTCGATGTTTGTATCGATATCCTCTCAACTTGTGTCGAAGCGTTGGACGGAAACTCACTTTGTTTGGCATTCAAAGGGAGTCTCTCTTCCGGTCTGCTTTCCGAAAACGACGACGTGACTTTATTATGCATTAAAACGGTTAGTTCAGAAAAGTTTATATCAATAAGTTGTTCTGCCAAAAAAATTAAGTCAAGTTTTCTGACTTGCTTATTTATTTTTTCGAATTTAACTGTTGTCGGTTCTGCCTATTTCAAAACATTTCTACGCATTTGTATAGTTCTCTTTATTACACCTCGCACAATAAAAATTCTAATTTGAAGAAAAGTTTTTTTTTGAAAATGGTCAGAACGTTATGTGCTACTTGCACAGCAACCGGCTATTCTTTTTATATTTCAGATTTGTCGTTTTTTTTTTCGTATTTGAGAACTGCGGCTATGCTTTATTTGACACTGTAACAACAACCCAGTAGTTAAAATCTCTAACTACCAAATTCGGATGCGGAAAACTAATAAAAAAACTCAAAACCGGTTTTTAATTAGGATGAGCTACTTCGTGCGCGTTCAAGCTCAAAAATAAGTCTATAGTTGGATTTAAGTTTAGATTTGCAACACTAGCAATGTTTAGATTAGCAACATCCTTTCTCGTGGAACGCGCGAGTCCTTCACTTTGTTCGCGGAAAAGGAAATACTTTCTGCAATTGTCGGATGCATCGTCAGACCTCTTGAAGTGGCCAACAAAAGTGCAAAAGTTCTCATTGTGATGCTGACAAACCATGAGATGATGACATCTGCCAACATGTGGAATTTTGTTGCAAATGAACTTTCGAAATTTTTGCAAGACGATGTAATAAAAATCAGAATTCAAGAAGTAAGTAAGCTTACGCGGTTGTTATGGTTTGTCTTTCACTTTTAATGAAATTAGTAATGAAAAGTTAATGAACGATCGTTTTCAGACTACCCAGCGTAATAAAAACAACTGATTCAACCTGTTTTCTCTAATGGGTTAGTTTTACGAAAAAAGTGACAATCATGAAATTCAAAGAGCTTTAACGTGATAGGTATATTTTTCTGAAAATCGAAGTTTGAATAATATTCGAAAAAGGTACTCGTTTTTTTTTGGTTTAGTATGAAGTACTGTGCGTTCAAACTCGTCTCGAAGATGAATATATATATAGCTGGATTTGAGTTTAGATTTGCACTACTATCATTTCATTACAAATCACTAGGAATTAAAAACACCTGAATTCATTGACACGTTTCCAATTGTCTGTTGGATATATTTTTGTAACTCATTTAGTGCTACTGTGTTTGTATGGTATAAAGGTCAAGAAAAACGTGATCGATTTCTATTTTTACATTAGCGAATGTGTTAGTATGACTTCAACCTAACTTTTTTCCAACCTAACTCGAAATAAATAGTGCTTATTTGGTGGCAATTTTGCTATAATCACGATCTGTAGCATTGGAAATTTCATAGCATCTGTTCTCTGTTTTATTTGTGGCTAGTATTTGCCGATCGCTAAGCGTTGGTGGCTGAGAGGGAAAAACGTGAGACTCCAGGTCGCAGGTTCGAATCTGACATGAAGTAAAAATGGCTCTTTTCCACGCCCCTCACATTTCAATTTTGAAAAGCTAGTTTAATGATGTCATAATGTAATGATATTTTGCTTAGTGAACAAACCAATTATTGTGAATATATTTGTTCTTCATGCATTACATCGTAAAATCACTCGTTTAGCCATAGTCACACGTAAAGTAACTAAGAAAAATGAAAATTTGAAATGTGGGGGGAGTGGAAAAGAGCCGCAAAAAATTAAGTTATTTGAGGCCTATTTTTTTCTGATTTATACTTTGTAGAGCTGCTTTTCCCGTCGTTTTCTTGCTAGTATTTGCGAAGCACATCTTCGCTTCTGTCTAAAGTGGATTTGAGTTTGCGGCTCTTTCCACCACCCCTCCCACCTTTCAAATCTTCCATTTACTTAATTGTGTCACATGTTAATTCAGCTAAATGCGTGATGTTACATTCTAGAGTAGCGAAAACAAATCTGTCTAAGTTACTGAGTTTGTTCGTTATGCCAAATTTCATTGCAATATGACAACGCTAAAAACGGTTTTTCAAAATTGGTTTTCAAATGTGGGGGATAGTAAAGAGCTGAGTTTTTAGATTTCCCAGCGAAAGGAAAACTTTCTTCATTGATTCAGGTTCTCAATTTGAGTTGATTTTTATCAAAAAAGTGTCAATCTTAAATCGTTATTTAAAGAGCTGAAAATTTTTCAAACAGAAGTTGCTTTGTTTTCTTTCTTAGCGTTTATTGACTATTTTACAACTGTCTGTTTGCTTTTTTTAGAATAAAGTCTAAATCTGTTTACGCTCAAATTTGTTTTTTCGCTGTTTGACATTGATTTAGTTTCAGTTCTCTTTCTTTGTTAACGGGACAAACTGTTCTATCGAACTGCAGACTAAAGTGCAAGAAAAATGTAATCGACTTCGGGTTTCAAAAATGGATGTCAATTTTCAGATTTCGAAGAATAAATTAAATAACTAATGATCCAGTTTTCTCAAATCAAGATGATGTTATCAAAAGTGTCAATCTTTATTTGTTCTTGAAATTACAAATTCTTTCGGCCATATATCTTTCACTTTAAAATTTTTTTCTTTTTTGGCCATTATGTACAATTCTTTTTTTTTCTGTTGGCTATATGGCTATAATGCTTTTGAATGAGGTTTGAAATTGCGGAGCACTCAATAGTTTTTTATAAGCGCAGGATGGATTCAATCACTGAATTAATGCTTGAAAATATATTCTAAAAGAGTGCCAAGTTGATCCATTGAGATATGCAATTACTGAACAAGAGTTGAACGAAGAAAAAAGAAGAAATCAAATCAAAAGTTAGCTATAAATGGAAATTAACTCAACAGAGGGACGATTACACCTAAAATTAGAAAAAATGTTTAATTTTGTTGTAAATTTTTTCCCACCTGGGTCAATTTCATGAAAAGGGCTTCTCGGTTTCAATTGAATAGTTTTAATCATAAATTTTGGGACAAATACATTCTAGGAAATAGGGTTTTATTGGGCATGCATGCTTTGAGACATTGTTTTGCTGATTATGTAGAGTTTGTTTCTGTTGGTTTCTAGGTTATGGTTAGAAAGGACTACCCGAGAACACAAAAAATAATTTTTTTAATATAGAGAAGGGTTTAAAGGTGCGAATAGAGAGGCTTACGTTTATTAAATGTTCACCGGTAGAACGGTCCATTGCATTGGAGCTAAAAAGTTAACTAATTTTTTTTTGTTTTCCGCTTAATGACACCTGAAAATGGGCCGTGCTGGCTTAATCGTGTTCTCCCAAACTATTCCAATTTGTATTTGTCATTTTTTAAATTGACTAACTAGATATCGTTTGGAAACAATTTATTTTTGTTATTTTTCGCTAAAGCGATTTGTCTTTTGAAATCGATTTAAATAAAGCTAATGTTATCAGCGGATCTCAGTTTTTCTCTCTCGTCGAGACAATATCTTCGAGTTTGTCGTTGTTGTTTATGAACTTTATCATATTTGACTATTTTCTTTCCTCGACAAGCGAAGTGAATTTAAAAAAAAAACTATTTTTATTCGTATCGTTTCAGTTATTAGTGGAGTGCTGTTGTCAGAGTGAGGCCTCCTTTAGAGCCATATCCTCTTGGGAAATGTTCGATGAGATCATAGCCGACTCAGTCTCAGATGACATTCTAGTCCAGCTGAACACATTCATGGTACACACATCGACATCGTATCTTACTATTTACCTCCCATGTACTTAGTAAAAAAATCACCGTATAAAACACTGAATCAATAGTAAATCATTCGCGTATTTCGTTCCTAGTAATGAATGTCCTCTCCCCCTTCTGCGATAGGGGGGGGGGGGTTGGTAGTTAAAGAGATCCCAGAATCTTCTATTTTGATATTGACTTAGACTTGCAACTTATCACCTAGTTTCACAAAATTTTTGTAATAAGTTGAGAATGATTAATTGATTTGCATCTTTTGGCATGAGAAATTTTGCCCTCAGCATCTTTTGGCATGAGAAATTTTGCCCTCACAAAAAAAACGCAGCAATGATAGGGCTCAATACAGTAATTACTTTCCACTTAAAATGTATCAGCTGTTTTCATTAAATGAATTGATTTCTTACTATTATTAATTGACTTGCTGTTGAAGTATTTGCTGTTTTCGTTAAACTATTTTACGGGGTTTCTGACATAAATATGATTGGTAATAAAATCAGTCTTTTTTATTCGCATATAGGTGCTTTCTAGTTTGGCTTCGTGTGAGCATGGCTTCGAGTATTTGCAACAGAAGAATATTTTCAAGAAGTTCTCAGAGTTGCTTGTTAACGTAGACAGTCATCCCTTCTCAAATCTTCTCCTCCCGGGACTCCTGAAATTTTTCGGCGGTGTTTGCCAGCATAAACCAGACCAGGTGCTTTCTCAACATCCGGAGTTTCTGACTAAGTTGTTCACCCAAATGACCTTGGGAGATACTTTGTCTTTGGAAACGGTGGCTTTTATTGCACGAGGAGCAAATGGCAAACGAATCCTCAACTCTGAAAAAGGTAAATTATTGTACTCGTATAGCAGTTTTTTGGTGAAATATCTAAGCGATATTTTCAATTTCATGTTAAATTTAAGTTCAGTTATTTCGGAAGTTATTTAAGCCGAAATTCGAAAATAAGTCAGTTGTGATTAGGTTATCGACTTCAACTAATGTACTTGTGAAATTTCCGTGAGTTGCGGATGGATCAAAGCTTTCGAAATCGATCGCCATGAGAATACATTGATAATAGTGGTAGGTAAATAAGACGACATGACATTAAGACGACAAATGACTGTTAAAATATGTAAATTGGACTGTTCCGAACTAAAGCGAATTAAAGTCAATCGGAAAATTGGTGTGAAGCGTCGTCTTAATGTCCCACCAAAAGCTGTCGTCTTAAATAGCTGTTGTCTCATTTGCGGGACACCATTGATTGGGTCATGTTTTAGAGAAATTCATCTCAATATGCTTGCATCTAGCTGGTAGTTTATGTCACTCGACCGATACAAACCAGAGAGTGAATGGACTATTAGTGGCCGCTGATCTGTTCCACGTAGAGCCAGACAGTAGCGACAACAACGAGATATCCTCCATCCTCAAGGAATGGTGGATGAACCTTGGTTTGACCTGGAACTACCTGCTGGAACAACTCCATAAACCGTTCGAAGATGTCCAGATTGCGACTCACAATCTTCTGGCTAATTTGCTACCATATCATGACTGGGTGCTGCAAAGTTTCAATAATTCGGCCGGGTTCATAGAGTACCTTCTCGGAAGACAATCGGGTAAGAGTCATTTGTACTCTATACACAGCGAGCTGAGTTGATATTGCGCATACGACCAAGTTTCGACGTTGTTTTCATGTTGGCTCGAGTCAAATTTTAGTTTTATTGAACCATTTTTAATCATTGACAAAGTTTCACTGGTTAGAGTTGAGTTTCATCTAAAATTGAGAATTACTTAATGGTGTCAGCTCTTAAATGATATTTTATGTGAAATAGTTTCCTTGTGTCACAAATATTATATCAGCAATAGATGCAGCGGTTAATAACAATTTCAAATCCTCGAAACAGTTTAAAAATGTTTCTATTGTCTTAGTTTTTGGTGACTACTCGCGATTAAAAATCATAGATGGGTTTGATTTTTCAGCGATCGGACGTGGTGTGTGTTTGAGCAAGTATGAACTGGTATGTCGATTGTCGGATAGTTCGAAGGCCAGAGAAGTTCTGGGCGACCGAGTGTACGTGAAACTGCAGGCATACAGAGCCAATGGGCCCTACTATGCTGGCGTCCAGGACCCACAGGTGGCAGTGGAACGAGATTAAAAACTGACATTAAAACTTTCAAACTCAGCGAAAACGCATCATGTCCATCATAAAAATTAAATTTGTAGAAATTCATTTTCGATGAAGTATATGGATAATGTTACAAATATAAAGGGCTCTTAAATCAGAAAACCCAGTTGAGCTAACATGAGTGATGACTTGCAACAGTTAATAGCGCTTAAGGTGATATGTTATGTCGTTACTCCGAACTATGGCGTAGGGCGTTTTTTCCAGCGGATTTATATTACCGGAAATAAAGCTCGTAGGGGTCAAATGTAGTATCGTAGTAAAGACCCGTCAGCCGTGATTTGGATTCAATAGTTATATCTCAGTGTCAAGAAAATCTCTATCTTAGAATTTTATCAATTTTCAGACTATAATTTTAGCTTTTCCATCTAATTTGGTATTATTCTTGGATTAAATCGTTTCTTGGATTAAAGTTTTATTTTTGGATTAAATCGATCTGATAGCTCATTAACCAATTCTATACGTTTTTCTTTTTACACTTGCGAAGCGAGTGTATTAGTACGGACCTTCTTTTCTCCATTTTAATTCGCAAATTTTGGTGCCCCTTTACAGTTTTTTCATAGCATGTGCTTTGACATTCGAATAGTAATAAATAAACACGGTTGATGCATTTTCAATTCATCAAATGAACCGTAAGAAGTGATTTGTTTCAAACAACGTAACAATAATGAAAACTCGATTTCAGAAATTTTCTAACACAATTCGCAATTTTAGCTAGTGTTTATGTAATTGAGGAGCACATTTCGGCGATGGGAGGTCGTTAAACTCGTTATCTCCAAATCTGTGGTTCGGTTTCAGCTGACGGCATGTTTTGTTTACAAAGTTTAATATTGCCGTTATATTTTGCTTTTTGGGACTGTTTACTGCAGTTTTTTTCGTTTTTGTTTGAGATGTGCAGCTGGGAGTCTACAGAAATTCGTGCATTAAGATTGTGTGAGTAGCAACCGGCTGTGCGTAATAAAATAACCTTCAATAGAGTGCTGGTGAGAAGGATATGTCAAAAAGCGTTTTTCTAATAAATAGTTTTTCTTGATGTTACTGTTGTGCTAGAAATCTTACAGCGATCACTAGCAAACCAATAACTCTAACTAGCTCATTCTCTTTATCCCCGCAACTGCAAAGTTTTATAAGCAATTTTGTTATCACATTAATTGATCGAAACAAAAATTGGCATATGGTCTAATTATACCACGGCAAATATATTTTGCTTTCATACGTAACCTTATAGAACCCCTCGTTACACCATAAAACTGATGCTTAAGTGAGGTTAGGGAAAAGGAAAAAGGTCTCTATTTTTGCTGTAAGGAAGGCTTCAACTGAGCTGTTGTTTATTTTTGATTTTTGTTAAATAAGCAGCAAAGTTTTTAGTATAAGACAGTAGCGGATGTAGGGGGGGGGGTCGGAGCCCTACCTCAGGGATTCGACCCCCTGCCGACCCAAAGGGTTTCCCCTTTGTACTATTTTGAGATATCCATATTTGCTGACGGACCCTAAAATTTTTCTAAAGGCTCCTTTGACGCCAATCGATACTAATTTTGAGAGGGGAGCGCGCGCCGAAAGAACGCAATTTTTTGGTCGAAACTTTCAAAAAAGTGCCTAAAACACCTAAAAACGTCAAATTAGTGCATTTATAGTGGTTTCATTACGAGGCAAAACTGTGCACTGGATAGGAGCACAATTTTGTGTCTATGTTGCTGGATTCCAGAGACAAGTCTTTAAACATGTTAAAATTTTGTCGGAACGATCAAAGAGAAGGAAAGATAAAAGGGAGCGTCCTTGTTGCGGAATCCGCTCACAATGCACAAAATGCACAGTTTGGCCTCGTAATGTTGGGAGAGCTCAGAAAATCAATTTAGTCGACGTCGACGATCAAAAAAAAGGTCGACAAAACTTTCAATTTTTTTTTGAATATCCGCCCCCTCGAGAAATTCCTAGATCCGCGCCTGGTATAAAATCATTGTTTTTTTCTCAATACTTGACTCTTTCGATTTCAAAACATCTAGCGTAGCCATTAAATGAAAATTTGTGCTAAAGAATTGACGTGAAATTTTTTGGCTTGTTTTTGTGAACTTTAGGTGTCCATCTGGTGACTTACCCGCTCAACGTTAGAGTTGTATCATATGATGCTATTTCTTTCTGAGGGTAGATAGAACTCGTATTCGAGCGGAATCTTCTGGTTTACATTTTCAGTATGGGAGGTTTACTTAGGATTTCATAAAATATATTTTATGAATAGACGGAAAACAAGACTGCTCGTATCAGGGCAAAGCCCTGAATGTTCCGACTGGCTTTTGAGCTTTATGGAGCAGTACTAGCAAACCAATAACTCTAACTAGCTCATTCTCTTTATCCCCGCAACTGCAAAGTTTTATAAGCAATTTTGTTATCACATTAATTGATCGAAACAAAAATTGGCATATGGTCTAATTATACCACGGCAAATATATTTTGCTTTCATACGTAACCTTATAGAACCCCTCGTTACACCATAAAACTGATGCTTAAGTGAGGTTAGGGAAAAGGAAAAAGGTCTCTATTTTTGCTGTAAGGAAGGCTTCAACTGAGCTGTTGTTTATTTTTGATTTTTGTTAAATAAGCAGCAAAGTTTTTAGTATAAGACAGTAGCGGATGTAGGGGGGGGGGGGGGGGGTCGGAGCCCTACCTCAGGGATTCGACCCCCTGCCGACCCAAAGGGTTTCCCCTTTGTACTATTTTGAGATATCCATATTTGCTGACGGACCCTAAAATTTTTCTAAAGGCTCCTTTGACGCCAATCGATACTAATTTTGAGAGGGGAGCGCGCGCCGAAAGAACGCAATTTTTTGGTCGAAACTTTCAAAAAAGTGCCTAAAACACCTAAAAACGTCAAATTAGTGCATTTATAGTGGTTTCATTACGAGGCAAAACTGTGCACTGGATAGGAGCACAATTTTGTGTCTATGTTGCTGGATTCCAGAGACAAGTCTTTAAACATGTTAAAATTTTGTCGGAACGATCAAAGAGAAGGAAAGATAAAAGGGAGCGTCCTTGTTGCGGAATCCGCTCACAATGCACAAAATGCACAGTTTGGCCTCGTAATGTTGGGAGAGCTCAGAAAATCAATTTAGTCGACGTCGACGATCAAAAAAAAGGTCGACAAAACTTTCAATTTTTTTTTGAATATCCGCCCCCTCGAGAAATTCCTAGATCCGCGCCTGGTATAAAATCATTGTTTTTTTCTCAATACTTGACTCTTTCGATTTCAAAACATCTAGCGTAGCCATTAAATGAAAATTTGTGCTAAAGAATTGACGTGAAATTTTTTGGCTTGTTTTTGTGAACTTTAGGTGTCCATCTGGTGACTTACCCGCTCAACGTTAGAGTTGTATCATATGATGCTATTTCTTTCTGAGGGTAGATAGAACTCGTATTCGAGCGGAATCTTCTGGTTTACATTTTCAGTATGGGAGGTTTACTTAGGATTTCATAAAATATATTTTATGAATAGACGGAAAACAAGACTGCTCGTATCAGGGCAAAGCCCTGAATGTTCCGACTGGCTTTTGAGCTTTATGGAGCAGTAATAACAAAAAAAATTGTATATAGTAAAATAAAATGAAAATTTTTTCATGAAAATTATCTTTCCACACGCCGTATTAAGTACAAAAGGATAGATATCGCTCATTGTAACAAATCAATTATGGCAAATTAGCTTCTTCCAATCACCAACTTGGAACGATTTCTAAGACGGATTAAAGCTCCGCTTACGCTATAATAGCGCGAAATATATCGCGCGTTAATTGAACCAAATTGACCAAAATGCAAATATTTAAACCTCCATAACTTTACGAAAAACGGTCACAGGTGAAATTACTTTTCAAATTTAAGCTCAGGACAGTTTTTCAAATTTAAGCTTTCGAATGATATAAAAAAATTCTATCGAAAATGGCTAGCTAAAAAGTCGAAATTTGTCTGAAGAAAAAAAAACCCACCCGAGCACAAATATTTCGTATCGAAAGTCGGAACAATAACGCGTTTCAAAAACTAAAGCTTATTTTCACAAACAAGATTGAAGTTTGCAGCTGAATAAAAAAAACGTAATTGACGTAATTTTCTCGAACTATGGTATTCGGTGTCTGAAAATTGTCCAAGCTTAGTTCTTTGTCCAAGCTTAGTTCAATATGTTGAAACAAAAATGACTTATACAGTTGCTTAATTTCACGACAAACTTTTTGTATGGTCAAAAACGCTTGCGACTAGGATAAAAACATAAATCAAATTTATCAATTTGTTCGAATTTTTTCTTAATTTACAAGTTTCCATGTGAAGAAAGCTTTTTAATATTCAATTTCAATTTACCTGGATTGCAGCGACAAATAATTGAAGCTGAATCTTTTTTTGCGGAAAATACTAGCATAAAATCAAAAAAATATATATGTATTCCAGCGACAAATCATTGGATTCTATGCTATATTTTTTGAACTCAATACTGCAGTCAAAACGCGTTCATCCAAAATCACACTCTAGTTGTAAGCTTTTTCTACTCCTCAACCATTTTTAATACCAATTTGAAAAAGAAAGTTTAACTTTGTCATAATGTATTCACAATTGCATGGCGAGCAAGTCAACATTATGGACACATTTATTTTTCATAGTTACGAGACATTGCAAATTAGATTTTACACAAACGCATAAACTTTCAGTGTTTTAAAAACCTGGTTTTCTTCTTTCTCCCCACGTGCAAAAACATACAAACCGTAGAAAACTCCACATTACGTCATTGAATTAATGTTTTTGTGATGCGAGGGAGGAGATAAGAAATAATTATGATTATTTTCAGAGCCGAAAAAATTGAAAAAAAATTCAGAGCTGGATTCAGAAAGGCAATGCGCCAACATCCCAAATGTGCTCATTTTTTTTATGATTAAGCATGTCTGCCAAGCATGTACTAGCATCAAATAGTTTGAAATATTTTTATAGTAATCGTCGTATCGGAATCGGAGACGGAGTCAATCATGAAATCAACGACATATCCAATATCAGAGAATGGGTTGGATTAAAGCCCGAATGCTTGCCTGTTTTTAAAAATTTTCAAAGTCAAACTAGACAGAAATAATCATCGAGAATAAGTAATCGAAAGCCAAAATAAAATGAAAAATATTGTCAATTTCCTGTGAATAAAAAGAAGACACTTTTGTTCGAACGGTTATTTGATGCCAAAAAGTTCATAATCTTCTTCTTTTTTTGTTTTTTTTTGGATCTTTCATTTTTTCCGTTATAACACACCATCACCCCGTTCTAGTATTGAAAATAAAACAATACCCCCCAACCAAAAAATAACATAATTTTTTATGAGATTTACCGTAACTTAGCTAACAAGTTTTTTGTAAAACGGAAAAAAAGTTTCAGGGAGGTTTCACTAAGGTTATGAGATCAAAAATAAAAAAGTTTGCCTAAAAATGACACTCCCTGTTTTTTTGGCGCACGCATTGATAACCGAATCTGTATAAAACGGAAACCTACAAATCGAAATTTGTACTCTATCATACTTAACAATTCTTAACAAAAAACTTTGATACTTTTTTTCTGATATTAAATCACCTTCAGATAGTATCCGAGAACAATAATTGATCTGGCCACTGAAAATCAGAAGGAACTTTGTATTCGAGTGTTGTTTAGTTGTTTTCGATTTCCACGCAAAATTATGCACCACAAATAATCATCGAAATGGGTTGAGTGATATATAATATTAATGCACTTTCAGTCGTGATTCAAAAACATTATGAAACTTCCAAAAGTGACCCCGAGCGAATGTATTCTTTTTCCTTTATATTAAACGAAATCAATTTTCGCCAGTAAGTTGAAATCTTCTGGTTTACATTTTCAGTATGGGAGTTTTACATGGGTTTTCATTAAAATTAATTTATGATTAGAAGAAAAAAACGCGTTTCAAATACTAAAGCTTATAAAAACGTAATTGACGCAGTTTTCTCGAACTATGATATTCGGTGTCTTAAAAGTTAACGATATCATTGAATTTCTTGTGGTTTTTTCGAATCACTACTGGAATAGATTTTTTTGTTAATACAGATAAGTATTGCCTAGAGCATTGTCCAAGCCTAATTCAATATGATTTAGCAAAATTGCCTTGTACAGCTGCTAAATTTCACGACAAAGTTTTTATATGATCATCAATGCTTGCTACTAGCAAGCGTTTTTAAATTGGATACAGTGATCAAATGGATTAATCAATTAATTCGAAATTTTGTAATTACAACATTTCATGGGAAGAAGTTTGTTTAATATTCAATTTCAATGTGCCTAGCAGCGAAAAAAAATTGAAGCTACATAAATTTTGCGGAAAGCACCCGCATAAAATCAAAAAAGACAAAATATGTATTCCAGCGACAAAGCATTGAGCTCCATGATTTTTTTGAGGTCAATACTGCTGTCAAACGCGTCCATCCAAAATCACATATTAGTTCTAATTTTTTTCTACTCCCTAATGTTTTTTAATTCCAATTTGAAAAAGAAAGTTTAACTTTGTCATAATGTTTTCACAATTTGCATGGCGAGCAAGTCAACCTTATGGACACATTTATTTTTAATAGTTACGAGACATTGCAAAATAGATTATACTCAAACGCATAAACTTTCAGTGTTTTAAAAACCTGGTTTTCTTCTTTCTCCCCACGTGCAAAAACATACAAACCGTAGAAAACTCCACATTACGTCATTGAACTAATGTTCTTGTGATGCGAGGGAGGAGATAAGAAATAATTATGATTATTTTCAGAGCCGAAAAGATTGAAAAAAATTCAGAGCTGGATTCAGAAACGCAATGCTCCAAAATCCCAAATGTGCTCATTTTTTTAATGATTGCGGGTGTCTGCCAAGCATCTACTAGCATCAAATAGAGTGGAATTTTTTTTTTTATCGTAATCTTCTTATCAGAATCGGAGACGGAGTCAATCATGAAATCAACTACATATCCAATATCAGAGAGTGGTTGGATTAAAGCCCAAATGCTTGCTTGTTTTTAAAAATTTTCAAAGTCAAACTAGATAGAAATAATCATCGAGAATAAGTAATCGAAAGCTAAAATAAAATGAAAAATATTGTCAATCTCCGGTGAATAAAATGAGGACACTTTTGTTCGAACGGTTATTTGATGCCAAAAAGTTCATAATCTTCTTCTTTTTTTGTTTTTTGGATCTTTCATCTTTTCCGTTATAACACACCATCACCCCGTTCTAGTATTGAAAATAACATAATAACCCCCCAACCAAAAAAAAACACAATTTTTTATGAGATTTCACTATCAAAATTTTACTGTAACTTAGCTTACAAGTTTTTTGTAAAACGCAAAAAAAGTTTGAGGGGTGTTTCACTTAAGTTATGAAATCCAAAATAATAAAGTTTTCCTATAAATGATACTCCTTATTTTTTTTGGCGCACGCAACATCATGCAACACAAATAACAATCGAAATGGGTTGAGTGATATATCATATTATGGCCTTTCAGTCGCTCTTCAAGTGACATTATAAAAATTCCAAAAGTTTTAACTCTGTCGAGAAAAACCAGTTTAAATATTTGGATTTTGGTGTTTTTTGAACGAATTAAGTGATTCAGCAGGCTAACTTTGTTTTTTGTTGTCAAAGTAAGCCTTCCCAATCACTTTCCATGAATAACTGTCGCATTGTGTGGATTGGTATTAATCTTTTTCAGCCCTGATTGGAGTTAAATTTTAAAAAGATAAGATAAGCCGCGAAACTGATTTGTAAGATTCGATCCCCTGACGACCCAAAGGGTCCCCCCTTTGATACTTTTTAAGAAATATATTTTTGGCCGACCGACCCTAAAAATTTTCTAAAGGCGCCTTCGGGGCCAATATATACTAATTTTGAGGGGGGAGCGCGCGCCGAAAAACACAATTTTTCGGTCAAAATTTTCCAAAAAGTGCCTAAAAACGCCTTTTTTGACCTGTTTTTTCAAAATTTTGCATGCGGCGCAAAAAATTTGGCCAAAATAGGGACAAAACCGTGCTTTGGGAGAGCTCGAAAAATCAATTTGGTCGACCTAAAAAAAAAAAAAAGTTCGTCAAAATTTTCGAAAATTTTTTGAAAATCCGCCCCCCCCTCGAGAAAATCCTAGATCCGCCCCTGATTCAACGGAATTTTTATCCCTATTTTTTCTTTTTCTTGTTACTTTTTGACAAAAATTACTGCCCACTTTGTCTAAAATGTTGTAACTGTCAATTTTGTCTAAGTTTTAGGTTTATATACCTAAATTGATGTTTTTCAATGCTCATTTTTAAACGTAAAAACATATCAATAGACTTTGTTGAAATGTTTTCGGGGTTGATACCCACATAACAACAGTGCAGACGAGACCGTATTTTGACTTTTCTGCAAATTTGTGTCAAGAAATGACAAAATCTAAAAAATCCCAATGAAAGCAGTTTAGATGAAACTGCTTCATTTTAGATGCCTTCATTCTAGTAACTTGCAATTTGACAACAAATTGATCCGATTAGTAAAAAAACGTGCACCAGGCGAAATTTGAATTATCGCATTGGTTTTGCATATTTTGTTTTTTGCTTCAAAACCATTCTACATTCTACAACATCTTATCAATATGACAAACATTGACTTGGTTAAAATTTTCCTGAGAAAACTAGTTCAGTACCTAACTGACGACAACTCGAGATGCCAATGCTGAAATGAAGATATTTTAAACAACAAATTGTTATCTGCCAAAAAACTTCAAAAATTTATGCGTTCTGTTTTTGTAATAATTTTTGTTCAGCCTTACATTCAATTAAAAAATGCAGCTGAGAAGCTGGCAATTCTCTGTTTATTTTGCGCAAGCTTCAAATTCCACTTTTTCTTCTAAATGGTTTGTTGATGCTATCAAATACGCATTTGGCCTTTAACTCAAACTCTTTGTTAAAACATTTCATCGAAAAAACTGCTTCGTTCGAGTTTTCAATTCGAATGATCTTAAAATTCTTTAATATGAGGGGAAAAAATTGAAATGAGAAAGAAAACAATTTTTCTGCAAATAGCCCTAACCAAACACTCGTAATAAAATCCTAGTTCCCCACAATGCTAATTTGTCCATTTGTCCATTAATTTCTATTAAAAAATGTTCGATTCAAGGACTTCTGACAACTAAGACAGTTACGAAATAGGAAGCAACTACACATGTCGCCACAATCAGATATAAACAGAAACATATTCTGTCAGCCAAAACAGAGCACTTCATCCAAACTGGAGCTAAATTATCCTTTTCGGCGATTTTCACCGGAACTTCGCCCATCAAATTTCGAATTCGTCTCTCCTGTAAAGTTTCACAGCTGTCTTCGATTTCCGAATCAAGCGATACGACTTGAGTCGAGCTGCTGTCGGGTTCCCGAGATCGACTCGTGGTTTCGGCTTCGGTGTTTTCGTTTTCGTTCGCCATTATTGAGTAATTTGCCGAAGCTTTCACCGCTTTTGTTCGGATAGTGGCTTCTGATGGGTGTAAAGGTACAATGAAAAAGAACGACAAGTGTTCGTCCTGCAGCACTTTGTAAAGCCACTCGGGGACTTTTCTACCGTTGTTTCCAATGAAGTAGATGTTATAAACTAAATTCAAACTTTTGGGTTAGAATTTAACAAAACATGAACTAATCATTCAGGGAAAAAATCAAAGCATACGCGCTGTTCGGTTCTTTGCAAAGAACCTCTGTTGTGCCCCTGCTTGTGAGCTATACATGCATTCTTTTTGGCTGTTTTTCTGGATTGGGTAATGCTGCCTCACCCTCAAGAAACGAGCACGGATCATGGTGGGCCTCGAACATCCGACTTTTCGATTGAGAGGCATAGACGTAATACTTCACCATCAATTTTTTTGGTATAAAAATAAAAAAAGGACGGCGAAAGAGCTAAGTTTAATAAAAAATACACTAAAGAAAGAACCATGACAACAACCTTAAGTCTGAAGACGATAAAGGATGAAAATTCAACTAACTCTTCCCCTTTCCTTACTCAAAAAATACCTAGTCCGCTTAGCTTTTATCTAAGTACTTTAAATCAGGGGCGGATCTAGGATTTTCTCGAGGGGGGGGGGGCGGATTTTCAAAAAGTTTTCCAAAATTTTGACGACTTTTTTTAGGTCGACCAAATTGATTTTTCGAGCTCTACCAAAGCACTTTTTTGCCCCTATTTTGGCAAAATTTTCTGCACCGCAGGCAAATTTTTGAAAAACAATCAAAAAAGCCGTTTTTGGGCACTTTTTGAAAAATTTTGACAAAAAAATCGCGTTTTTTTGGGCGCGCGCTCCCCCTCAAAGTTAGTATATATTGGCGCCAAAGGCGCCTTTAGAAAAATTTTAGGGTCGGTCGGCCAAAAATGGATTTCTGAAAAAGTATCAAAGGGGGGACCCTTTGGGTCGGCAGGGGTTCGAATCCATGAGGGGGGACGTCCGCCCCCCCCCCTAAATCCGCCCCTGCTTCAAATAGCTAAGTTTGATACTCACTGAAAATAGTCGCAATCAGCGAACTCGCCATGTGAATAATCATGACAGCCATGTAGTTTCCGAACACGGGAAAATGTTCCGAACTCCTCGGTAGATTATTTGCAACCTCGGTGCCCAAAGTCAACACCTGGGCCAACAAATTAGCGGAAGCGAAGGTTATTTTTTCGCCTGATTGAACTGGTAATATGAAAACAAAAGTTGACAGAATGTAGACTCCGAAACTGCAAAGGGATCAAGATAAAATCATCTCTCGATTCCATTTTTGAGCATTTTTTTGGGGAGGCGGGTGGCTAATTGCCTTCTGCTTTTGCTTTTAAATCTGAGCCAAATGTACTTTAGAATTTGGCAATTTTCAACTTAATCAGGTGTCTAAATCTGTAAAAACAATTATCCTGTTCAGGATAGGAAACTAAAAATCAAAGACAAATCTTCAAAATGAGGATCTTTGCTTGAACTTAATTTAAAAAGGGAGGATGTTAAATTGATCCCTGGGAAAGACTAGAATTGAGAGGAAGAAGGCAGGGTCTCGTTTCAGTTTGAGGTCCACTCGAATTAGGTCATAGTATGGCTCGTCTGTTCTGGGGTCCCTGTATGTCTTGATGTGGTACTCGACTGGTCTGCGCACTTGCCATTGGGGGTTCTCGTTCAAGTGTGAAAGGGACAACTCGCCCAAAACAGGGTCCGATGAGTCAATGGCTATAAGAATTACAGTATTTTTTAGACATCTCGAATTAAAAACTATAATTAGAGAAAACGACCCCTTCTTTAGATCATCGGCGATTTTTTCTCAGGGTTTTGAAAAATTCTTCAACCTTCTTTTTAGGTCAGCCATACCATTTTGAGCATCGTTTTTTGAGCTTCGTCGTAATTGCTAACTAACCAAAATTGGCAACGTTTTTTTTCCGCGTAGGTAGTTTTTTTTGGAAGAATGAGGTTTTTCAGCAAATTGTGACCACAAATTGTGGTTCTAGCGGGCGCTTCCATCAAAAAACTATTATATTTTAGCGCCCAAGGTGCCTTTAAAAACATTTTTGGGTTGTTTTTCCCACAAGTCACCCTGGATTTCTCACAAGCATGTAAATTTCAAATGTTTGTATCTTCCAAATTCAATTCTTTTCGGCTGAGTGAACTTGTAATACGTACCAACAGTGAACTGGTTGCCGTTGCTTCCCCACGAGGAGATGTACATCGGGCAGTTCTGTTCGTCGAATGGGAACAGAGCATACTCCATTTTGCATGAATAAGTGAAAATGGTCAGAGTGTGTGTTGTGACTATTCTGCCATCTGAGAAGACTATCTGGTTGCCATTTGTGGAGTAGACATCCTCAATTACCCCCTCGTTCATCAAAAAATTGAGAGAGAAAAAAATGATGTTTTGCTCTGTTACTTTTAAAAATACGTCAATTTTGAACAGCAAAACTTTTATTGTGACACATTGCTGCAATTATTACTTAAAATAATCAGGCCAGGCCCCACGGATCAAAATATTGTTTTCATGATATGACCCAGGCTAAAAATAAAACCGGCTAATAAAAAAAATAACGGAAAAAAAATAAATTTAAGCTTAAACAAGACTGATTGAATCGCAGGGCAAAGCCCTTTAATTGGTCTGGAATAGTTTTTGGTAAAAGAAAATATTGGAAAACTCTAAACTCAGGACAATATCGAAGATCAAGTTTTAAAATATTAGTCGTACGATTAGCGTCTGTTTACAGCCTCAATTTAATTTGCAACGATTTTGTTGTGCGCGATAATTCACCGCGCACAAATAATTCATGTTACGCTTTCAGCATTATGAGTAAAAACTTCAAAACGCGCATACGTTAGTCCAGAGCATGACCAAATTTGTTAATTTAAAACTCTGCAAAAAACGATCAGAGGTAAAATATCATTTTACTTTTTGATTCAAGGAGTCGATATCTTCAATTGGGCATGAGCATATAAGAATAACGTTTAGCAACCGGAAAATAACCGTTCCCGTTTAGCACATGATATTCTTGTTTTTAATGTAAACCTATTATTTGCTGGAAATTTTTTATTAGCTGGTTGTTTATATTCCGATTATATGTTCCGACTTTTGAAGAAAAAGAAAAAAAAAGTGCTCGGGGTGGTTTAATTCCCCAGCCAAATTTCGACTTTTTAACAAGCGCTTTTTCACGTAAACTTTTTGTATCAGCCGGAAAGTATTTTTCCCTGAGCTCAAATTAAAAAAAATATTTAGTAAAAGTATTTTTCATAAAGTTAAGGGGGTTTACAGATTGTCAATTTGGCCAAAATGGGATAATTAACGTGCATATATTTTATGCTTTTAATCCGTCTTAGAAACTGTTCTAAATTGAATTGAGGCATGCTTTATTGATCTATTTAATACTTACCCTCACGGTGAATGTATTACTTTAAGCTTTACATAGAAAAAATCTAGAGTGTAGTTTTTCAAAAAAAAAACCTAAAAGGTAGTATTTAAAAAAAATCGAAGATATCATCATTTTTTTCGAACGCGAACACTACACCATAGACTTCAAAGGGCAGTCAGAACATTTAGGGCTTCGCCTTAATACGAGAATTCTTGATTTTTTTTGGCTGTACTTCTAGCATGACAACAAAATTTCGATTTGCTTGTTTAATTTTTTGTTATGGTTGCAGCAATGCCTTACAACACAAATTGTGCTGTCCAAAAAACGAAATTTAAAAGACCGAAACGCAAAAAAAATGTGCAGATTTTTTATCTGTAATATTACTTGTGTCCAAGCGATTGCTTCATTTTTTAGCAAACAATTAATTTTGCTAACCTAAAATAAAAACTCTTGCTAAATAATTTCAATTAAAACCTGAAAAAACCATTAGGCCAGAGTATCATAAAAGATCAAAAACTTGTTTAAAATATAAAAACATAAATATGAGTATGTTTGTTATAATAATTTTAAAATCTGCTCACAGAATTTATGCATTATCAGTTACGCCTTCCTTGTATCAGCTCCTTCTGTTTTTTGAAAATTTGTGAAGATTATTTTGTCATACCTTAGGATAGATTCGATTAAATTTAGTAAATTGAAAATTGATTCATTTCGAATACTATGCCTAAGCAGTGATTTCAAAATCCAGTTGTTTAAAAACCTTTTTGTTAATATTTTTCTTTCTTCTGAATTTGTAAGCTCTGTTAAAAGATTCTCAATTTTGCTTTTTTCTTGCCTTTTCAATTATTTTCTTTTTTCTGTATCTGTTTAACAATCTACCCTTTTTGCAAGGTAGATAAAATCGGAGATTTTTTGACCAATCAGAATGCATCAAATGCAACAGAAAACTCTAGTGCTAAATAATTTTTATATTAACAGGGTGGAGATTTTTTGTAGATACCATATTTTTGCTCATATTGTCCTTATTTCTGCTAGGACTTATTGCAAGTATGTAGTTAGTAATGCACCAGATCGAATTAAAATGCTCAAAAATGTACTATGATACTCAAAAGCGGATTTGAAGGGGGGAGGAACTTCTCCCCTTCTCAGAAATTTCACTCCCTGACTACCCGAAGGGTCCCTTTTTTGGTACTATTTTTAGACCCCCATTTTTGGTTGGCTGACCCAAAAAAAATTCCAAAGGCGCCTTTAGCGCCAGTATATGATTTTTCTGAGGTTGGAGCGCTCACAAAAAAAACCGCAATTATTTGTCAAAATTATTCAAAAAGGGCCTAAAACGCCGAAAAAACGCAGGCGGTGCAAAAAAATTGACTAAAACAAGTTTTATAATGCTGTAGGAGAACTCGGAAAATCAATCTTGTGAACGTGAAGTATACTTTTCCCATAATCAACTTTTTTACAAGTTTATTACTTGCATTATTATTCTACGTTAACAATTTTGCTATTCAATCACACTTGGCGTAGAGATTTTGCTGTCGCTTCTGTTCCTTTAGGTCCGGGGATCGCTTCCCGGCTGGACTTTGTTTTTTTTTCAGCTTAAGAGCGATTTAATTTTTGTTCGGTAAACATTGATTTGTCGGACATATTTTTTGAGCTTAGTTGCCACGGCGCGGATTTTAATTGTTCTGAAAGCACTTCTCCTTGTAACTGCTAGTGCAAGTGTTGTTCATTTTTGGGTTATGGGGTACTGAAATTGGAAAAACAAAGTGTAAATTTTTTTGGCTCATCTGGTGTCTGCTCAAAGATTGTCTCATCACGGAATTTTTCTTGTTTTTTTTTCTGGCCTTTTGAAATAATAATTTTTTTTCAGAAGTTTATTATAATTTTTACAAGGTAGGCTAAATCAGTGATCTTTCGACCAACCACAATTGCAACAAATGCAGCAGAAAACTCTAGTAATAATTACTGTTTATTTTTACAGGGCTGCAGGTTTTTATTAGATACCATAAGGGTTTCTATGTGGATCTTTATGTCTGCTGGGATTTATTTGCATATATGTAGTTAGTAACGCACTAGATCAAGTTAAACTGCTCAAAAACATACTATGATATCAGTAGCTGATTTAGGGGGTGATGGGAGGGATTTTTTATTGTATTTTAAGAATAGCATTTCTGACATAATACGTAAAAAGTAAAGGTGTTACACATACCTAGTTCCGGACTCCAAAAAGTGTTTGCTTCGAAAGTCATTTTGTTCACGCCGTTAAAATCATTCGGATTCCAGGCAGCTGAGGTGACATAATAATAGTACGAGAAAAAATACTTGACAGTCAGTTGCTCCAAGTTTTCGTTGACATTCACGACTTGGTACAAATCTAGTTCGGGAAAAACCGAATTGTTCAGCATATCTTGGTGTGGAGAATGCACTGTAAGAGTTGACTTGAGAAAGTTTACTAATTTTTCTTCTTGATTTTGAGATGCGAACTTTGATCGTACCAATTCGAGATCAATGATTAGCAAAAAAATAAAGCAGAAAAATAAAGCAGTTTCTGACAAAAGCATACTTGAAAATATTAGCTTAAGCTGAAAGTTGGTTTGTAATTTACGAATTATAAAAAAAATGTTACAGGAAAAAGATCAATCTAACGCAAGACCGGCTAAGCGATTAAAACTTCCAACAAGTCTACTTTTCCGCTCAAATCTAGAATGAATAGCAGACAAATTATGGCGCTACCAACGGAAGCAGATGTGTAGCTTTGAATGACATGGCAGTCGATGAACTGGAACGAATCTGTGGATGCTCATTTAGAGAATTTTTTGATCGATTTTTGCTTCAATTATTTTTTGTATAGAGATGGTGGACTGACTTGATGCAGAATGGCAAAAGGGAAATGTTAAACACTGTTTTAAAGTCAGTTGAGTGAAAGTTAAAAGCCATTAACTGTCGGCATTTTATGTCGAATGATCTTACTGCAATTTTATTTTACGTTTTTGTCAAAACATAGCCGATAGAATTAGAAGCAAAAACTTTGAGTTCGTTTATGGAGTTCACAAATTATTAAAGTCTCATTGAGCAAAAGCTGCTTTCTAAAATTTTGTTTTCAAGATTTGGCTCTAGTACTGTTTACAAAACAATTTTATTCATTATTACAACAAATTTGAAATTCTTTTATTTATAAACATATTTATAAACATAGCAGGTCTTCGCATATCACGGCAAAGCCCTGATAGATCCAACTACCCTCTTACTCGATTGGAATGCTTTGTAAAAGCTTAATTTTTCTTAAAAAAACATATAGTTTTGCAGAACTCGTATGCATATGGTTTTTTTTAATCAGAAATCAGCTATTTCATTCAAAGAATGCAAAGTTTTATAGTTTCTCTATTTTAACCAATGAACACAAAATGCAAAGTGAAAACAAAATTTATCAAAAGCGTTCCTAATGTCTGAAATGGAGTTGTGTTAGATTTTAAAGCTAACTTTCTACAAAAAAAACTATAAAAGGATTAAAGTGATGACGATGATTGAGATCGTATTAGTTTATCGTTGTATCGGAACAGTAGCAGTTCAATTATTTTGTAAAAAAGATGGAAAGAAGATTGCAAAATGGAGAAAAGATTTCTAACAAGATTTGACCAACAAACCAATAAAAAGTTTATAAAACCAAAATTTCAAGATAAAAAAAAGTTCGTTTAATGTTTTGAGATGGATTATTTTACAGATTCTCGATTAGTAAGAAGATCTTTTTATCTTCATCCAAGCTTCAAAGAATTCCTCTTGTATATGCTACTATTTACTAGATGGAAAAGGACAAGTGTGTGTATCTTGGGATTTTTTTCAATGAGTCAGAACAAATCAGAAAAAAATTGATTGAAATTTCAAAATTTGTTCTGAGTATCGAGAGTGTAATATCGAATTTTTTTGTTCAAAACTCACTTACTATATAGTGATTAAAAGTTTGATTACTTGTCGGGTTTTTTTTGATATATATTTTTTTCAAATAGTATCTAATCTGATTTGAAAAGCGTTGAACAACGCTAACTGTGATTATTTTTTTTTCTGATTGGCTAATATCGAGTTTTAAAAATATAACCGGCGAGTAAAGCTTGATTCATACTGTTTGATATAAAATATATGAGTTTTTTGTTGAAACATGAGCAAGATGCTCATTGGTAAACATCAGATTGGATAAACACTACTTTGTGAAAAAAACTCACTTCTGGTGTGTTGAAATTATAATTTTTGAAAAACCATTATAAGTTCAAACTCGATTTATACTGGTCGAGATAAAACTGATAAAAATTGCGTACAAGTTAAGCTTAGTTCTAATCGGTTGATAACAAAATGTTTTAAAACTCGATTTCGATTAAAACTCCATTTTGATTGGTTGATATTATAATTGTTAAAAACACTATTTCAAGAGAAAATTCGATTCTGATTGATTCTTGTTTTTGATTCATTTCTCTCTTAGCTTTTTCAAAATTATTTCACTTCCTTCTGATTTATTTTTACTTTAAAAATAGTTGGTTAAGACAGCTGCTTTCGATGCTTTCAAACACAAAAAAACACAAGACAAAAAGCATCATGTCAAAATGCATCAAGACATCGCAAAACGGTAGAAACTTTGAAATGACCTAATTGTAATTTTCAGAAACGCAGACCTGACAGGATGTTATGGAAGATGATCAAATGCACGCTGAGTAGCTTTCAAACAAAAATTGCACGCTCCAACAAAAATAGGTTTAAAAAATACTAACAACACGAAAATAACAGGATCAAGAGGCATAAAACTTTTTTCCGAAGTTGTATGTCTTTTCCTAATAAAGACAATTTTTGGTGCTAAATTTGCTTTGAATTAGTTAGGGATTGTTTATTTGATACAGTTTTCTATATAAAAACCCTTTTTTGCTTGCATTTTCATTCTAAGCGGATTCATTTGGAAGATAATAGAAAAAGCAGAAACCAAGCTAGATAAAATTGGAAGTGAACGAAAATTTTCTTAAATTCTAATTCAATTGAGTTTATTAGAATAATGAGGGAGCTTGAGCAAACAGATTAATAGATGGAGTCAAATTCAAAAATCTACTTTCAAGACTACAATTCCAACAAAAAAGTTTTTCAAAAAACATAATTTCTGTTTGTGAAGGATTTCAGAGGAACGTTGAAGAAACAAAAACAAATTATTTCACTGCTTAAATTAGTCCAGTGCAGGATTAAAAAATGGCTCTTTTAATTTTCCAAAACTTTGCAAAAGTCATCGGAGGTGAAATATCTTTTTCAATTTTGTTTAAAGAAAACTCCATCTTCAATTAGGCATAGAAATAAAATAGAAATAACATCTACCAACCGGAAAAAAAATCGTTCTCCTTTAGTACATCTTATTCCTGTTTTTAATGTAAACTTTTTCTTTTCTGGAATTTTTCAGCTGGTTGTTGTTTTCCAATTTTCCAAGAAAAAGACAAAATATTTGGGCTTGGTATGATTTTAATCCGCAGACAAATTTGGACTATTTATCTAGCCCCTTTTCACGGAATTTTTTGTATCAGCAGAAAATTTTTTGCCTTGAGCTCAAAACTAAAAAGATTTTTTTAACTATTATCATATTTCGTAAAATTATGTCGGTTTAAGGATTGTCAATTTGGCCCATTTGGGATAACTAACAAGCGATTTGTTTTGTGCTATTCACGCGGGAGCGGATATAAAACCGTCTTAGAAAACACAAATCGAAAACACAAATCTGAGGTTGGAGCGCGCAGAAAAAAAACGCAATTATTTGTCAAAATTATTCAAAAAGGGCCTAAAAACTCCAGAAAAACGCAGGCGGTGCAATAAAATTGACTAAAACAAGTTTTATAAAGCTGTAGGAGAGCTCGGAAAATCAATCTTGTGAACGTGAAGTATACTTTTCCCGACATCAACTTTTTTACGATTTTATTACTTGCATTATTATTCTACATTAACAATTTTGATATTCAATCACACTTGGCGTAGAGGTTTGGCTGTCGCTTCTGTTCCCTTAGGTCCGGGGATCGCATCCCGGCTGGACTTTGTTTTTTTAAGCTTAAGAGCGATTTAATTGTTTTTCGGTAAACATTGATTTGTCGGTCAGCTGTTATTTGCTTGGTGCTTGGCTGGAATTTCGCTGCAGGATCTGACATTGTTTAACAAATTGACAAGTTAAAATTGGGTGGCAAGGGTCTTCATCTTTAAAAAATGGCGCAGTAGGTAGTTCGAGATGATTCTTAGCCTAGTAGGAAGGAAAGAAGCTACTTGTTTCTTGAGATGGATCAGTGATGTCAGTGATTCCTGATGCGGTGATTCAAAGTTGCCATCAGAGGGCGACTAAGAATCGGGCTTTGTAAAATCGAATCTCGAGTGTCATAATAAATGTGTACTAGAATACGGGTATTGAGAAAGGTAACGATTCTAAACATTTTCTTGGGAACCATGCGAAGATTGACGAGATCAGGAGATTCTCAAACAAGAAGTTCGATTGTGGTCATGACGTGCATCGTGCAATGATGGAAGCTGAAGAAAACTAAAAAACCATCCAAGCGGGGAGAGTATGAGTGTGTCTCCGGAGTCAAGGGGATATCTTACAACCCTTTCTTGACCACAGAAGCACGCGTTGCATACTTGAACTTCGAAGTAGCAAAGTTGCTGAAGTTCTGGAAAGATAGGATAATCGAAACTGATGATTTAGGGAGGAAGAAGCTGAGCTTGGGCCTACTTCTTGAAAATGAAGCTGAGATTGTCTGCGTGCCGCGTTCACAGAAGAGAGTGGAAATGAGGCTAGGTGGCAAAAAATGTCTTGATCACAAGACCCTCTTGGTGACCACATCTCCAAACAAGCCTGAGAGAAGAGACCAGAGAGCGAATCAGACTATTACCCGGGAAGGACGAGAATTTGGGGGACTTGAATGTGATACACGAGTTGATTTTACAGCATCAGGAAGAATCCTAAGTGAAACCGGAAGAATCTTGAGACGAATTGCTGAAGAAAATGGAGCCAGGCACTTGTCTTGATTTGGCTATAGGAGGAGAAAGAAACTCATGTGATGGACGATTGTGCGAGAGCATTCAGTCCTACCAAAAAAGGGACTGGGCCACATGGTTTGGTGATGTTGCAGAGAAAGAGAAGAGCCATATGTGCAAAATCTAGCTGACTGCTACGCGAGCGCAACCGTGAACTTGTCAACCGCACTGGGATTTTCTCGAGAATGTGTTGTCTAGAGTCACTAGAGAGATTGGAATCTGAGCATCATTTAGTCCCGGCCCTGAGCGTGGAGTCCTGGACAGAAGTGTTACAACTGATTCAGAAGCACATCAAGGGTTGGAAGTTGGGTCTGGGGGCCGAGATAAGATTCCCTTTGAGCGAAGCGTAAAGTGTGCAAATGAATGCGATTTCCTTGGTAGAATCAGTTATGGCGAGTTTTTGTTCGAGTAATTATCCGTTGCACATGTCATTGGTGGAGCTACTCAGTCAGAGGGTAACGATCAAGTAGGCGTTTTCGTTACCTATGTGTGTGCGGCTGGCGAAAAAGTTCCACCACTGGCACCGATTGCTTAGGAGGACCCATAGTGGATGACTTGAAAGATATCTGGAGACAAACTCCTGAGCCTTGAGAGAGAAAAGTCTTGCAATTTTGAGAAGCAAAGCACAAGTGGGAAAGTCCTGAAAGATGCC